CCAGCCACTAGGGAAGTGGCTTAAGCCCTGAGTAAGGGAGCAGCTCACAGAGGGAGCTGAAGACCTGGAAGAGTCAGTAATTGTTGAACTTTGTTACCCATAGAAGCAGGGTCGTGAGTTGTATGCAGGGGCGGCTCTAGCTTTTTTGCCTCTCCAAGCATGGCAGGCAGGCGGCTTTCGGCAGCTTGCCTGCGGGAGGTCCCCGGTCCCGCAGATTTGGCAGCATGCCTGCCGGAGGTCCGCCAGTCCCGCGGCTTCGGCGTACCCGCCGCCAAATTGCCGCCAAATCTGCAGGACCGGCGGACCTCCCGCAGGTGCGCCGCCGAAGGCTGCCTGACTGCCGCCCTCGCAGGGACCGGCAGGGCGCCCCCTGCGGCTTGCCACCCCAGGCACGCGCTTGGAGCACTGGTGTCTGGAGCCGTTGCTGGTTGTATGGGCCTGTGGTTGTGTTGTAAGCTCCTAAGGGCAAGAAACTTGAGCCTGATTCTCCAGTGCCTTGCATCTGGTGAAATCGTTTGCATGTATGTGAAGTAGATGTAAAACGTCATCATTCTGCTTTAGTACCATTCACACCCATTATGCATTTGCTTTGCACTGATTTAAATGGCTGTGCAAGGTGCAAGGCAGTGACAAATTAGTCTCTTTGTATTTTGTGAAGTGATGTGTGCCTCTGTGCTACACCATATATATTATAAAGAAAAGGTTTTCTGTGGACAGTTGGTCACTTCATGATTTTATGACATTTCTATATATTGAAAGGTGATTTATACATTTTCTTTTGTACAATTATCTAGCATTTACAGCTATGATGAATCTAACCCCAGTTACATCACCACTTATTTAATTTACTCACTGCTGTCATCTTCAGAGCTAAGGCCTCAGTCACAATCCAGCTGATGTCAGAGGGACTCCATGTGGGAATAAGGGAATTCCTTGTGGGAATTCTCCATGCTTGAGAATTGTTTGCAGACGTGTTTCCTGTTTTCAGCTTTTCCTCTGGACCTTTCTTTACTTATTTCCCTGTCTTCCCCACCCCACCCCCCAGTGCTCCTTATTGAGGTAAGCTGTTGCTTCAGAAATGACACTGAACTTCTTGCTTCTGCAGTGTGTGGCAGTTGAATCCTTTTCAACAATTTCAAAGCACAATTTGATAGTGATAGTGACGATGAAATGCTAAGAGAGATTAGAGAGGCTATCAAAATAAAGAACTCAATAATAGTGGGGGATTTCAATTATCCCCATATTGATTGGGT